CATTTCAAAGTAACTCAGCCTATGCTGAGAGGTTATTCTGGTTTGTGGAGCTAAATTTTTTTTTAATGAAGAATAGTAACAGTTGAGCCTTCAGATTACAGTAGTTGTAAGGTCAGTTTTTAAAGTGATATTTTAACATTAACAGAGTAAGTTTTTCTTAATTTTAATTTTAACAGAGTAAGTTTTTCTTAATTTTAATTTTAACAGAGTAAGTTTTTCTTAATTTTAATTTTAACAGAGTAAGTTTTTCTTAATTTCTAATTTGCAATGGTCAATAATGTTAGACTAAATCGAGCAATCTAAAGAATGTGGAGGTGGCTACAGAGCACCTTTGAGGAAGGTGGGGGGCCGCAGAGATTCTGCTTACTGTCTTGCACATCCCCACTGTCACCTATTACAGAAATGGCATGTAGTCAGACTTCTTTTTATTTATTTATTTATTTATTTTTGGTCTTTTTTGAGACAGGGTTTCCCTGTAGCCCCAGCTGGCCTGGAACTCACTATGTAGGCTAGGCTGGCCTCAAACTCACAGAGATCCACCTGCCTCTGCTTCCCTACTGCTGGGATTAAAGACATGCCCCACCACTCCCCAGCGGTCGTAGTCAGACTTCAACAAGCATATTCCATGCTTCTGGGGGATCCCTGAAACCTGCCCTCAAGCTGAGTCAGAGCTTTCTGAACTAGTAGGCCAGCATGGTGAGCCTCCCTGATAACTGCCACGTGTGAGGGACCCACACGTGGGTCTCACTGTGGGCTGGGTGTGTAAAATACATACATACATACATAAATACATACATACATACATACATACATCCTTTTAGAATGTCCTCAACTGAGGCCAGGTAGAGATGGCTTAGCACAAGGAAGGGTGCTTGCTGTCAAGCCTGAGTCTGTTCTCTGGACCCATATGGTGGGAGGAGAGAACCGATTATTGGAAGTTGTCCTCTGGTCTCTGCACCCATGCTGTTGCAGGCGTGTGTACACACATGAATACACACACACACACACACAAAATAAAACTAATAATGCTTTTTAAAAAGAATATCCTTAAAGAAGCTGTACAATGTTGAGTCTATTAAGCTGTACATCTGCTTAGCTTTCCCGTGAGGAAATGGATGAGCGGACACACTGTAGCTGTCAGGCTCAGTGTTTGGTAGATATGTTCTCCAATATGGATGATGTGAGTCCCAAGGAAAGCAACTGAGGGTTTCTCTCTAAATATAAAATTCATACTTTGGAGAGAAAATTAGAATTTGGAAACATATCTGCCAGTGTGACCTCAATAGCGTCCCAGCAATTAAACATTTCTAAGGGGATCCAAGCTGTTACAAGTACCTGTCTTTAAGTCTGAAATTCTGTGAGCCTGTGCTTTGTAAGTGACCCATATGCATGTAGGCAGAATATGTAAGTGGGTAAAAGACTCACATGGTACCAGACAGGCCAGTGGGTTCATGTAAGAAAATGGGAGTCCTCAGTCTACTGTAGAATCCACAGTGCCACTGATTTTGATGAGACAGCCACAGTTTCTAGAAGAATGGCATATCTCCAGAAGGCAGGGCTTTCTTCATACAGCTCACTCAAAACCATACAAGGATGCCGGGCGTGGTGGTGCACGCCTTTAATTCCAGCACTAGGGAGGTACCACCATAAGGGAGGCAGAGGCAGGCAGATCTCTGAGTTCAAGGCCAGCCTGGTCTGCATAGCAAGTTCAGGCCAGCTGGGGCTACAGGGAGACCGTGTCTCAAAAAGACAAAAAAGGAAAAAGAAACTATATAGGGCAGAAGCATGTTTGGGAATCTGCTCTCACCTGTTAAGGTGAAGACCCACAAGATAGAAACAGTCACTTCCTGATACTTTTTTTTTTTTTTTTTTTTTTTTTGAGACAGGGGCTCCCTGTATCCCCAGCTGGCCTGGAACTCACTACGTAGACCATGCTGGCCTCGAACTCACAGAGATCTGCCTCCCAGGAGTGCTGGGATTAAAGGCATGCGCCACCACACCCGACAATAACTTTAACTTTTTAGAAATAGCACTAAATATGTTCTACGTAAACAAAAGATCTTTGGAACCCTCAGCTTTTAAGAGTATATTTTGCTGAGATCAAAAGCTTTGAACACTGCCACCTCAGAATGCTAGTCAGCCATGTACCCTGCTTCTGATGTTACTTTTCACTGTGGTTGGCATTGACTCAGTTAGGAGGCTCTGCCCTTAACTGCACTGTTGGGAAATGCTAGCTTTTTTTTTGTTTTTTTCGAGACTGTGTCTCACTGTTAACAGAGACCTGGTTGGCCTTGAACTTCCTTCAGTTTTCCTGTCTCACCTTCCAAAGTGCTGGGATTATAAGTGTGTGCCACCATACTTGGTTTTATACGTGCACGCATGCGGGCCCATGCATATATATGGCATATACACCTGTGTGATGTGTATCCATGTGCTTGCCATATCTTCCTCTTGTTCTCCATGTTACTACCTTGAGACAGGCTCTCACTGCAGCTTGCCTTTCCAGCTAGACTGTCTGGCCATTGAGCTCTCTGGAGCTGCGTGTCTCCACTTACCAGTGTGTGTAACTAGTGCATGCAGTCATGCCAAGCTTTTTGTGTGGGCACTGGGGATTTGAACTCAGATCTCCATGCTTGCAAAGCAAGTACCCCTTCCCACTGAGCCATCTCCCAGCCATGTATGTGAAGATTTCACTGCATTATGCCTATTTCTGGTTAATAGGAAAGTTTGTTTTAGCTAAAGAAAAAAAATTCCCTTAGTGTCTGATCCAGTGGCTACTAAGCAATAGGATTGCTAGTTCCATGGCAGCTTAGAGAGTGAGACCTTGTCCAGAAGGGTGGGCGAACAGTTACACAACAAATACAGAAAGCTGTACCTTTACTATACTCAGAAATTCCCATTCTTTTCTTCTCTGCAAAGAAATTGTTAATAAGATGCGATTACAGCTTTGTGACTACTTTCTACGTGGGTTGTGCTGTGTGTATAATTACACTAAGTTGTGTTAGAAATGGAACTCTTTTTTTTTTAATTTTATTATTTTTATTTTATGTGTATGCATGTATTGCCTGCGTGTAGGTAAGTGCACCCGTGCCATGCAGTGCCCACGGAGGACAGAAGAGGCTGTTAGATCCCCTGGAACTTGAGTTAGGGCAGTTGTTAGCTGCCATGTGGGTGCTGGGATTCGAACCCGGGTCTTCTGCAAGAACAACCAGTGTTCTTAACCGCTTAACCATCTCTCCAGCCCCTTTTTTTTTTTATTTTTATTTTTTAAAGACAGGGTCTCCCTGTAGACCACACTGGCCTCAATCCCACAAAGATCTGCCTGTCTCTGGCAGATTTCATCATCTTTTTTTTTTTTTTTAATTTTACAGTGCTGGGGATGTTACTCAGAACTTTGTGCATGCTAGGCAAGTGTTCGCTACTGTGGTACATCCTAGCCCTTAGTTTTGTGAAATGGTTTCCCTATATAAATATAGTTCAGGCTGGCCTGGAACTGGCCTTTCTCATACCCTCCCTACCCCTCAGTACTTGTAAGTTTTTAGTTTGCTGAATTGACAGAATTGCAAAAACAGTTATGCAAAATAAAATCGTGTTTCAAATGCCTTTTATCTCATTTTACTTAGGATAAATAACTTCACTCTTATTTAATATTCAGAACTCATCCTTAGAAACATGCTGATTTTCCAAATTAACGTGTGAGTTGGATTTTTATTTTATTTTTTTTTTAATTCTGGGGATCCAACCCAGGGTCTTGGGCTTGCTAGGTAAGCCTTCCACCAATGAGCTGAATCTCCAACTACAAAAACTACAAACTAAATCTTTTAAAAAGATTTTCATTCCTGAGAATGTTGTCATTCCTTTGCCTTTTTAAGTACTCAGTGTTGTGAAATACAGGTATTTGTTTCTAGTCTACTCTGAGAAAGTAGTTTCTGAATTTTTGGTGGTTGCTTGGTTTTGGGTGCTAGACATATAACCTCTAGGGTCTTATGCCCCAGCCCAGCCAGTAGTTTCTGAACTCTTAGACTTGCCCTTTGTGGATAACTTTCTTCCTGGTAATCTTGTAATTATGATGGCCTTTTATAGCTGTTTGGACAGGAAGGAGGTCGCTGTCCCTTTAAAGAAAGGTGGAATTTGGGCCCTTTGTCCTGGGTTACTAGGGAGACCACAGTTAACTGGAGAAGGCAGTTGATGAGAGGCCCGGTAGCATGAGGTGGGTTCTGCTCAGGAGTGCTGGCTCAGGCTGTGTGGTTGAGAAGACCTGGATAGAAACAAAGGAGTTTAGATAGGTATTTGAATGAGGAGTGAAGGGTTTTTATGTGGGGGAGGGGGGAGTATTTTACTTGTGAGATAGCATCTGAGAACAGTATCATTAGTTAAGGCTGAGCTAGCAAGGACAATCTGGTGAAATTTTTAAAAAATTATTTTGAGTCAGGGTCCCAAACTAGCCTCAAAATAATCTTTCTTCTGTCTCCACCTCCAGAGTGGTGGGCTTTTAAATGTGCATAGATGAATTTAATATAAATAATAGCCCCGAATTTCTTAGATCTCCCTATAGTTCCACTGGTCTGGAACTCACTCCATAGACCAGGCTGGCCACCATGCCTGGTGCAATTTGAGTTTTAATTAAATTATGATACTGCTATGCTACTAATACTTTAAGAAATGTTAACATGAATTTGTTGTTTAGCCTTTCTACTTCATGTTTCTCTGCTCAGTGTGGGGTTTCTCTGTTCTGGTCTGCCTGACAATAGACTTGTAGTCGGAAAGAAGTGAAGTGTTGCTTGCACCCTCTTCTTACCTGCTTCTCCTACCTTTTCCCGGGTGGTCCCTTCTCAGAGTGAACCAGTACTGCTTGGAGTATTTTTTCCCAGACTTTTCAGATATTTTTTTTCACTCGAATAATAGATGATTTAGTATTTGCTGTCTTTTCCTTGATTATTTATTGGTGTGTGGTTTAGTCAGTTACTGAAGATCTGTAATGTGTTTTCCCTTTCCTCTAGGAGCTTGTTCACGAAGCAGTCCCCACTATCCTGTTGGTTGTTGGAAACGGAATCTTCTCATTGGTAAGCAGTGACTGATGGTGGTGTGGTGAGCCCTGGCTATCTGCTAGACCTGGTGACCAGGTCTAGTGTTGTATGTAGAATTTCAGCAAAACGTTTCCCAGCTTTTTCAGCGTTGGGGCAGGTAATAGTGTTAAGACAGTAGTCACAAAACATTAACTTAGTAAGTTGATGTTTTCTATATTTGAAGTGGCATTATTTGTAAAGAAATTTGTACAGTGTAGCATTGAGATTTATTTGTAAAATTCTAAAGTATGTCTTTATACTCTTAATTTAACATAAGCTTTAAAAAAAAAACTTTTATTCATATTTATTTATGTATATGAGTTGTTATACCTGCATGTAGGTAAACGCACCTGTGTCGTGCATTACAGAGGACAGAAGAGGCTATCAGATCCCCTGGAACTGGAGTTACAGACACTGGTTAGCTGCCATGTGGGTGCTGGGATTCGAACCCAGGTCTTCTGCAAGAACAGTCAGTGTTCTTAACTGCTGAGCCATCTCTCCAGCCCTTAGCAAGTGAATAGTCATTGTTAGAATCTGACTCAGCTGGATGTGTAGCATTTGGGAGGCTAGAGCAAATGGTTCTCTGTGAGAGCAAGGCCAGCCTGGTCTACATAGAAAGTTCTAGGCCAGCTAGGGCTACAGGAGACCCTGTCTTTAAAAGAAGAAGGAAAAAAAAGAATTTTACTCAGTTTTATGTTTTTGCTTTGGTTATTTTGTCAGTTTGTAAAACTTTCATTATATAGTCTCTGAGGAGAATTCTTCCTGAGGAAAGCTTACCTTTTTGGGTCCTGGAGTGGGAGGGACTTGAGAAGGCTGGGTGGGCCAGGGTCCCAAGATTCCATTCTGGGTAGAAATGCAGTGTTGCCTGGAAATCAGAACTTGATCGTATTCCAGATGTCATCTGCTTTGCTACAGCCTGTGGCTAGAGTGTAACTCAGTGGTAGAACAGGGGCTTAATTAAAAAATATTTTGCTATAAAACTTGTTTTGTCTAAATAGCAGGACCATTCCTCTCCCATTTCCCAGCTAGAATGAGGAAGCAGTTAGAAGTAGTGCAGTTTGCTATTTACTCCGCTATTTGTGTGTGTGTGTGGGGTTGTTTTGGTTTGTTTTTGTTCTTTTTTCTTTTTTTTTTCCTCTTTTTTGGTGGGGGGGGGCGTTCTCTTTGAGACAATCTGTGCCAGCCAGCCTTGACTGGCCTGGAACTAGCCATGTAGACCAGGTGCCTGCTTCTGCCTCCAGGGTGCTGGGATTAAAGGCTTGTGTTACCACCCAGCCATCCCTGTGTGTTTCTTGGTTCGTTTTTTATTACTGCTTTGTTCTGTTTTGAGATAGGGTCTCCCTGTAGTCCCAGCAGGCCTGGAACACTCTGTGGATGTTTCTGTGCCTGGCAGCTGTGTAATTAAGGAGCGTATCTTGGGTCTCCTGGTTGACAGCAGCTCCATGCCACTAAAATGGGGTTCTTGAAGTCCAGCCTGTCTGAGGAGTTTCCATTGTGACTCAGAATTGTTGTTGACACCTGACTTGGTTGAACAGTTTGGGAGTCACCTCAGGTGAGTAAAGAAATATGATCCTTGGACTCAGCAACATCTAAGAAACCTAAGGTCACAGTTATAGGGAAATAGAGGTCAGTGCCAGGCCGCCTGTATAGCTGAGCGCCAACCATTTGTTAAGCTACTAGAAACGAAAACAATATTTAGGGTGCCAATAATTTTCTATTGTTTTGCATTTTTTTTAAGGTTTTCGTTTTATGCTGGTCCTTCCCCTAAGATGGTGCATGCAGTGAAATCATTGACAATTAAATGCAATTAAAGCCTGGACACCTGGAAAAGGAATTCTCAAGGTATAGTTTTTTCCAGTTTTGTCACTTTAAACAAAGAATGAAGTATCCTGTATGTTTTAAAAAGGATGTGAAAGAGTTGGATGTGGTGATACATTTCTGGAATCCCAGCACTTGAGAGGCTGAGGCAGAAGGATTGCCACAAGTCTAAAGCCAGCTTGGGCCACACAGTAATAACAAAACCCTGGAGAGAGGAGGGAGGGAGACACAGGGACACGGCATGCAGAAGATTACCTGAAACTGTTGCTTAGGTCAGTAGGTGCAGTAGACTGATGGTCAGGAATCTGGGCAGTTCTCTCGCTTGGTGTCCATGAGGGCTTACTCTGTACTCAGCTGGAAGCTAGGGCCAAAGCCCAGGACAGACTTGGCCAGAGTTTGTGCAGGCCAGGCCCAGAAGTGCCCTATATCAAGTGTCCTGTGCTCATTCATGGTCATGGCCTGTAGCACAATGTCTGTTGACTCACTGTTCTAATACTTCTTGGGCTGCCCTTCACGTCATTGTTTACTACCCATTTTGCAAAGCTGTGTCCTAAGCAGTTAAATGGCAAGAATATACGTTCACTCTGGTGACCGGATTATTTCCTGCAGAACATTTGCTGTATAACTTAGGATTTCTTCATGAGTTACCTCAAATCGTCTCATATGACCCTGTAGGAAACGCTGGGCAGAAGCATTAGTCCATGAGTGAGCAGCTCTACTCCTGTAAGAACAATGACCCATCTCACCACTGTTGATAGGGGTGCTCACTAGGTGCCCCTAGGGCTGTCCAAAACTACATGGTGTGGTGGCTTGGTGGTTTGTTGGTCACAGTGTGATTGCCTTTTACCATTAGGTATGGATGATAAAGGGCACCCGAGCAGTGAGGAGGCACCCAAGGCTATTAAACCCACCAGTAAAGAGTTCAGGAAAACCTGGGGGTTTCGAAGAACCACAATTGCCAAGCGTGAGGGCGCTGGAGACACAGAGGCAGACCTGAGTGAGCAGCCCCCACAACAGCACAGCCTCTCCCTGCGCCGCAGTGGGCGGCAGCCAAAGCGCACAGAACGGGTAGAAGAGTTCCTTACCACAGTTCGGCGCCGAGGGAGAAAGAACGTGCCAGTCTACCTGGAGGATTCCAGTGAGCCCACGTCCTCTGTAGTTACCGATGTGGAAACCGCCTCAGAGGGGAGTGTTGAGAGCAGTTCTGAGATCAGAAGTGGCCCCACGCCTGGTTCCTCAGGGAAGGAACGTTCTCCCCAAAAGACCAAAGGAGGTGACGAGGAAGAAGACACCTCTGACAGTGACAGTGACGGCCTTACTTTGAAGGAACTTCAGAACCGCCTTCGGAAAAAGCGGGAACAAGAACCAGGGGAGAAACCCCTGAGAGGCATCCAGAATCGTCTGCGGAAAAAGTGTCAGGAGGAGGACTCTGCTGAAACTGGGGGTATCCAGACGAGTAGTGCTGACCAGGACACACCTCCTTGTAAGCAGGACTCTGAGGCTAGTCAGGGACTGGTGTCCCAGTCAGAGAAAGATGACAGAGAAAATCAGTCGGAGGGGAAAGCAACTCAGGGAAGCAAAGAGGAAAGCCCCAAGGATGCAGGCAAACCGAAGCCTGAGTGTGAGGTGTATGACCCCAATGCCCTGTACTGCATCTGTCGCCAGCCTCACAACAACAGGTAGGTGGAGGGAGGGAGCTTGTGGCTTACTTTCAGAGAGAGCCAAGGGTGCATATAGCAGCGAGAGGACTCCTCTGCGTTTGATAGCTTCACAACTAGGCTGGCCAGACAATTCTGTTGAAAAAAGAGAACCAAAGGAGTGGATATGGACTGCCTAGAGCCAGCTCTCCACTGGGGCGGCCAACACCCTCTCTACTCTGTTGCCCACATAGGAGATTTACAGTCAAAGTGCCCAGCATGAGATGAGAGGAAAAGCTCACTGCCTCTGTCTCACACGTCATGTGCACCCTGTGGACACTGTAGATGGGTGAGAACCATCTGTTGTCCCAAAGATCCTCTGGGAAAGCGCTGCTCAGGACAGTTATTCAGGTTGTAGACAATGACTGCACCCAGTGTGGTCCTTTGCTTGTGTTGGCTGCCAGGTGGTGATGGGGCATTCCTGTAGGCTTGTAGGGAATGGTTTTGATGCTGCTGTGTGAAGACACTGAAGCTTCTAGTTCACTCTTAGAACAGTCCAGTCAAAAGAAAGATGAAAAGCTGAGGGTGTAGCTCAGTGGGTAGAGTACTTGCCTGGTATGCATGAATCCTTGGGTTTGATCCCCAGAATCTCATAAAACAAGGTGTGATAGCACGTGCCTGTAATCCCAGCTCACAGTGGAGCAGGAGGATCAGAAATTCGGGGTCTGTCTCAAAAAGAGGGGGGGCAGATTTTGAGTCCTGGTAATGAAGGGTACTTGGGTATTCTCAGTTCTGATTCACTTTTCACTGTATTTGCACGTTTTTCATGACAATACGAAAACAATTTCACTTGATAATGTGCTGGACACTGACTTAGCACTCACTTCCCTTTCCTGATACCTTCATGTTGTTTCAGATTTATGATCTGCTGTGACCGATGTGAGGAGTGGTTCCATGGTGACTGTGTGGGCATTTCTGAGGCCCGAGGGAGGCTCCTGGAAAGGGATGGGGAAGACTACATCTGCCCAAACTGCACCATTCTGCAAGTCCAGGATGAGCCAGGTGCTGGTGCCACTGATGAGCAGGATGCTGGGTGTAGACCCATAGGTGCTGATGGCACAGACTGTACAAGTATAGGAACAGTAGAGCAGAAGTCTGGTGAAGACCAGGGAATAAAGGGTAGAATTGAAAAGGCGGCAAATCCCAGCGGCAAGAAAAAACTCAAGATATTTCAGCCTGTAAGTATTTGTCTGCCAAGGCAAACATGGATGTCAGACTTACTGTTGGTGAAAATAACCAGATGAGGAAGGTGCCTTTCTTTGGATTGTTGGGCTTTTGTAGGGCACCTTTGTGGGGATGTGTCATTGTAGCTTATGTTTTTTTTCTGCCTCTCCAAATGCTTTCTCTGTTCTTCCTACTTGGTTCGGTGCCCTCGTAAGGCCATGACTGTCATTTTCCATGAACTAAGACCACCAGCCTCTGTTGCTAAGAACCATCTGCTGCTTTTATCATCTGCGTTGCACTTGTGAGGGGTGCCACAGTCTTTTCGCTCCAGGTCCCTGGCCTGCCTCATAGCCTGTCATCCAGCAGGTATAGAGTCTGCAGACAGTGCTCTCTAGAAGCATCACTTAGTACTTAGTACTTAGTACTAGTACTCGGACACTGTTAGCTACAAGCTGAAAGAATGAAGACTTGTACTCAAGACTGGTGGGATGGTGGTTGCATGCCTTTAGTCCTAACACGCAGAGGTTCCTGGCCAGCTGGGACTAGGGAGACCCTGTCTCAGAAAAAGGGCTGGTGGAGACATTAAGAAGGATCACATGAAAATGTGATGCTGTTAGTGTCACATTTGTTCAGAGGAATTGTCAACTTGATGTTTTTATTGCAAATATACTTTCATATAAACCTTAATTTTATTCTAAGTAAAATGTATTTGGTAGAGGAAAAGCAACTATGGTAAGTACTTGACTTGAAAATTGACATCTGCTCAGTGTGAGCAGCGTGCTAGTGGGTCCTTATTCTTTCCCATCAACACATCAAAAGTTGTGGGTGGAATTGGCCTGAGATGTTTTTGCCAGTGTCTTATTCCTACTGCTGCATGACAGCATATCACAGATGTAGCTTAAAATCGCTTGTATTCCCACTTCCAGTCTTGATAGGTCAGAACCTGGCACAGCTCAGCTGGACTCCTAGGGTCTCAGTGTGAGTACTCTTGGAGGTCAGAGGCCCCTTGGAGAGACGTGTACAGAGCTTGTGTGCCAGGACCGTCAATGTATAGGTGTCCTACACAGGGGAAGTGGGTTTGTATAGTTTGCATAAGTATAAAGATACTTTTTATATTTTTGGGGGGTAGGGGACAGGATCTTGCTTTGTAACCTAGGCTAGCCTAGAACTTGAGAATCTCAAGCCTTTGCCAAGTGCTGGATTATTTTAGGGAGGGGGAGCGGGGAGAGAGTTGGATTATTTTAGGTGTGGGGGGGTTACGCACGTGCGCAGACAGGGGCACCTTTGTGAGTTTAAGACCGGCTAGGGCAATTTAAAAAACTAGTAGTGTCTTAAACACATTGGCCGTAGAATTATAAATAATACTGTCACTGAGTGATTGTTCTTGGTGTTGACACACTGTCTGAAGTCGCCTTTTTGTTCTGCAGGTCGTAGAGGCTCCTGGTGCTGCTAGGTGCATTGGCCCTGGGTGCTCAAATGTAGCACAGACTGATTCAGTCTATTGCAGTAATGATTGCATTCTCAGACATGCAGCAGCTACCATGAGATTTCTAAGTTCAGGTAAAGAACAAAAACCAAAACCTAAGGAAAAGGTCAAGATGAAGCCAGAAAAGCTCAGTCTTCCAAAGTGCAGTGCTCAGGTAAGCCCAACCTCACCGTCTGGACCACTGGAGCTGAAAGAGCTCCGAAGTGCTCTAATGGACTTGCTGCTATTGCTCGAGGAGTGTAGATCGGAACAATCACATTGCCTTTACTTCTCATTTTTCCCCTAGTGGAGTTACGTAAGGTGAACACAGTTAACAAGTGCCAGCGCATGGCTCTTGTGGAGAACTAGGAGCTTGGGATGCACGCTATAGCCTTGCCCAATGGACAGTTTCCTGGCAGAGTTGGTGTGCAGAGTCCATTCACATCACATTTGTAGATGGGCATAGGTTCCAGGTGAGGCCATGTGCCTCATGCAGGATAACTAAGGGATGCGGCCATAACTCAGTGATAGAGTTGTGCTTAGCATAGGTGAAGCTGTTGGGTTTGATCCCAGCATCACAAAAACAAAAATCATCTAATACATTTAACAAAGTTGGTTCTGAGCAGCATTAGTAATGCTGTATGTATTATATAGACAGAATAGGCCTGCATTGGTCATGTGCAGATGAACCCCAGCAAATATCTTCTGGTCTTGAGACAACAGTGGTAGGCCTTGAACTTGGAATCCTCTTGCCTCAGCCTCCCACTTAACTGGGTTTACAGGCCTGTGCCACGAAGCCTGGCTAAGATGACTTGGTTTTTATTTTTCAACCCTGGTCATTTGGGATCCTAGACTTGCCAGAAAAGCAATGGCTATAGGCAGTGTAAGTGTGGCAGTACCGAGCACTGGGGCCTGGCCACAGTTCAATAGCCTGGTACCAAGGTTTTCCGCTGGGAACACATGCTATTCTCTCTTTCCCAAGTCCTCATGCCGCATACAGACCCTTTCCACACTGTTCTTCGCTTGTTTCACTGCCTTGCTGAGGGTTTATGTTTCTGTTATCTTGGCTGGATCGTGCCTCAGCAGATTTTTACAGACATCTCTGTGTCAGAAATTTTCATTTTATCCAAATGTTACATGGAAATGCTGATGATTCCTAGGTGTATGGATGTGGCCGTACTACAAATGCAGTATTTTTATAGGGTTCTGCCCAGCATGGGTCTTCAGGTACCTAAAAGGGGGGAGGCAGTACTGTGTCTTTAATTGATTGTAAAGAAACAGAAGGGTCACTTCTGACCTCCTTAATGATTGGGGTTTCACTGATTATCCAGGCAGGGATTAAAATCTCTTCTGTGCACAAGAGACTAGCTCCAGAGAAAAAAGAAAACCCTGTGAAGAAGGTGATGGCGGCTCCTAGGAGTGAAACTTCTGGGAAGGAGGTAACCTGTGAAAGTACCACGCCATCCTGGGCAAGTGACCACAACTATAATGCTGTGAAGCCTGAGAAGCCCACCACACTCTCACCCACCCTGTTGAGTAAATGTACGTATCACACAGCGACTGGCCTCCCAGGCCCCTCCTTCCATCTGGATGGCTGCCTAGGGCTGTATGGGACTGGAGTCCTTGGTGTTCTAGTGCTGATGGTAGACAGCAGCTCACCACCAGCTGGAAACAAATACCAGGATGCCTCTGGACCCCATGTTTTTCTCCTTATCCTGTGGAGCTCCTGGGTGTTGCCTCAAGGAGCTTTACAGGCATCACTGCCGAGTGTCTCTTGTGGGCAGTTAAATCTAGTTTCAGTTTCAGACCCTGGTAAGTATTTCCACTGCCTGCTACAAAATAGGATTGCATCAGTGCACTGCTCAGATTCCAGGCTCATCGCTGTCCAGACATCAATTTTATCACAGGACAACCCTGCATAAACCATGAGGAGTTTTCCACATTACCTGCTTTTTGCACATGAAGTCACCATACTCTTATATGCTGTGGGCATCTCTTTCTGCAAGTTAAGTGTTGCATCTGATGGCAGAAGTGATTTTTTTTTTTTTTTTTTTTTAATTTTCAGGATCTAGAACATTTTTCAAAGGACAGGTAGACAATTTGCTTATGTCTGATACACCTACTACACACCCACATAAACACACTGAAATTTTGAAGGCCGTTTACTGTTGTTTAGTAGACCCCATGGTGACTTAATGTTGTCTTTTACACTTAGGGGCATTGTCCTTGTCAAAGAAGGGATTATGGGCTGATGTCACAAGGGTGGTGGCTTCATGAATCCTTAGGTGTGTGTACACTGTTAGTCTGCTCCAGATTTCAAATAGGTGAAATAGCAATACTTCGAGTGATTTTTTTTTTTTTTTTAATTTCATGTGTATTTGTGTATTGCCTGCATGTAGGTAAGTGCACCCATGTTGTGCAATGCCTGTGGAGGACAGAACAGGCTGTCGGATCCCCTGGGACTGGAGTGTCTCTTAGCTGTCATGTGGGTGCTGGGATTCGAGCCCTGGTCTTCTGTAAGAACAACCAGTGTTCTTAACTGCTGAGCCATATCTCCAGCCCCAACTTCAAGTAATTTTTAATTAGCCCCAGGTGGCATGGAACTAGCTATATAGACCAGGCTGGCCCTGGATCTCACAGTGATACCTCCTACTCTAGCTCCCGATTGCTGGGATTAAAGGTGTGCATCACCATGCCCAGCTCAAATACATTTTTGAAACGTCCAGTTGGGATCATGAAACTTGAAGCGGGTTCTAGTTCCCCAGCCCCATGTTCATGGGGTACATCTTAAGAATGTTGTACAAGGATTTCAAGTTAATTTTCATTTATGTTCTCTTGATAATGTTTTGTTTTATCCCCCACTTCCATCAGGGTCTCTTGTAACCTAGACTGGCCTTAAACTTGCTATATAGCTGAGGATGTCCTTGAACTTGTGATCCTTCTGCCTCTACTTCTCAAGAGTGCTGGGATTATAGATATGAACCTGGTTTATACACTGGGATAAACCCAGGTTGTTAGGCAAGCAGTCTACCAACAGCTACATCCTGAGCCCATGATCGTGAACTTTTGATCTTATCTTCACCAGAGTGCTGGGATTACAGGCATGTGGTGTTGGGGGTCATACCTAGCATTTCGCATGCATGCAGCTAGGTAAGCACTACCAACTGAGCTATATCCCCAGCCCCCAACAGTGCATTTTCTACTTTTTTTTAAAAAAAGCATTAAAAAAATAGTCCTGAATTCCAAAATTATAATGTGGTACATTTCTCATTAGCTTTTCAGCAAGTTACCTTTTCTTGTAGGTAGGCTCACATAATGAGAATAATTTGGACATGGTGGTGGAAGCCCAATGCTAGGGAAGTAGAGGCAAGATGATTGTAAGTTCTAGGCCAGCTGGGACTACCAAGTGAAAGCCTATCTCTAGGGGGAGTGGGAGGGAAGTTAAAAGGCCCAGGACCAAGGAAACAGAGTCGAAAGTAAATTAGCCACTGCTGCACAATTTTCAGACCCCGGTGGTTAGGCTTGGTGAGTGGTGAGCTTCATCAAGTTTGCAGATAAGTCTGAGGTGTTCATTCAGTTTCAGCAGCTCCAACAACAGCTTTGTGAGCTAATGAATGTACTTAGAGCCAAGTGCCTCCTGCCTGTGAACAGGGAAAGAGCAACTGCATTTTTGGGCTCAAGGGCTTCAAGTGGCTATAGACACGTAACAATAAAAGAAAGAGAGCCTGGGATAGAGCCACAGCCCAGGAAACTGGAGAGTGATTACAACTCAGTCCATCTTTGTGTGTCCAGAATGGGAAATCTACCCCCAAAGTTCCAGGTGGTGCCATAGGATGCCCAGTGCACTGGAGAGGGAAGTTTTCGAGGAAGACTAAACAGTGGAGTGGGCCTAAAATCTGAGTACTGTCTTCTGACTCCCTTCCACCCAGGGTTTTTGGGGAGAGGGTTGGAGAAATGAGGTGGAAAGTGCTTCAGGGTCAATGGGGGGACCAGTTTCTGTGCTCAGGGGTTCTTTTTCTTTACCTGCCCCACCTTGTCTTACACATCAGCTTAGTGGAGCTGATGAGCTCCAGGGGAAGAAGGTTGGGAAAAATTAACAGCTGGTTAGTCTTCCTAGCATGCCAACATCTCAAAATTGACCAACAGCCAAAATACAGCATGCATCAGGAACATGTTTCTGAACCGGTTGCTGCTGATTACTTTTGTTCCTGTTAGCCCATAAATGTTATCTTTCCAAACAGTGATTGAGGGGAGAGTAGGGTCATCAATGAGGGAGAGCACCACCACCTCTCCTGCTTCTCTTCCCCCTTTCACATGTGTGCGTGCAGTAGCAAGGCCTGTTATCCTGGTCGCTGTCTCTCCATGCAGAGGGTGCAACTGCCTCAAGGGCCCTGGTCCTGCCTCCCCAGTGCTTACGTGCAGAACACGTGGGGGTGGGGGAAGGAGGGAGGAGAGAAGACTCAGTGAAGCCAATACTGGGAACCCTTCCCACCATCTTGTGAGTAGATGCTCACCACGAGCACTATGAGAAGACTGCATGGCAGAGCCGAGCTGCCACTTCCTCCTGCCTTCCTATCACCAGTGCTGCCCTCTGGGTTGGATGCAGGCAGGCAGAGTGCCACCTGCACCGGAAGCCACTCCTCCGCACTTGGGTGATGCGATTTCACGCACAGTTGTTCCTCTGATTTTCTTTTTACTTTTCTATAATTTCTGTTCAATTAACTTACAGAAACAATGGCAATGTTTAAAATTCCCAAAGGTCCTACTGCTGCTTTTATGGTTTTGTGTACTTCTGTTTTCTCCTTCACTGGAAACCTCCCATTGTCAGAAGAGGGAAGTGGGCTAAACACTTTTCTAAAATATTCCTAGCTTATTAGCGTTCTGAAACAAAATTTGGAGTTTATACTTGTTTGCACAGTTCCTAGTATTTTGGACTCATTAATGTCCAAATGGCTCATTAATTGACTTAAAACACCAGGTATCTGAATAGATTTTGATAGGAAAACATTTCATCTGGCTGTGGGAATTTAATGGAAAACCCCAACCACCTGCAAACCAAAACCCTGGGCGAGTGGCTGCATCCTACCCAGGAGGAAACATTTCCCTTATTGATGCATGTGTGCTGCATAGGCTTCTGGGTTGGTGGGGACGTGGTGGGGGGGTGGCTGGACCAGAGAGAACACAAGTTTTCACCAGGGTATCTAAAGGTGTGGGCTCCAGAAGCACCTTTCACTGGAATCTCGGGGGAACAAAGTTTCTATAATGCATGGAGAACACTAGACCCCAGGCCTGTTGGATAGGAAGCTATAAAGCTGGGGGTGGTGGAGGGTCTGTGTTTTATCAACTGCATGAGCCGTTTGTCTCCTCCCACGGTTGTGGGGGTGGGGTGGACCAGACCTTGCACATCTAAACTAGACTTCCAATTGGAAGGGAAAGGTAAAAATTAGTACTATTAGACTTGTCAGCTCACTTCTAATACCCATAGCACTGAAACTTTCTAGGTTGCCAATGACAAAAACCTGTTAGCTGAATGTGGTGGTGCACGTCTTTAATCCCAGCACTTGGGAAGCAGAGACAGGTGGATCTCTGTGTTCCGGGACAGCTGGGGCTACAGGGAGACCCTGTCTCAGAAAGACAGAAAAGGAAAAAAAAAAAAAAGCCCTGCTGTTGAGAAATGGGTCATGTCGCTAAACTTGAATCTGCCAGGTGAGCCCCAAGAATCAAGCAGTCTGTCCTACAGCTGTCCCTTCCTCTGTCCTGAGCCTCCCTAGGGAGGCCCTGAAGGTAGAGGTTTCCACCCGAATTCCCTTGCTCTTGGTGACCTTCCTGTAACCTTATGAAGCTGTGGATCTAATCTTTAAAGGTTAACACTCCAGGAAAGTCCCTTTGATGGCATTGCCAGTGTGAAAGTGCAAGGTCACCTCTGAAGATGCCTGCCACACCCTCGTTGGTCACGATGTATTTGCATAAGTTTGTAAAAATACTTTTGTTGCTACACGTCAACATGCACATAGTCCATCCCTAGTTTCTCAAAAGAGAAGTAAACGTAAGAGGTTGACGAAACTGCTGCTTTTATGAAGGTTGGGGCAGCATGGATTGCCACAAACCTGGAAGAGCCTAGCAAGGACCCAAGGTAACTGGCTGCATATTCTTCATCCCCCTGAGTCCCCACAGTTCCATTAGCTTCGTACCTTTCAGGTGTAGAGGGTTGGGGGGAGGGCAGGTGGACTACTTTAACATGTTCCTGTTGTGTTGGTTTCAGTAAAACTAATCACAAAATAATGTTGGTTAAAATTGAGACTTACTGAAGTCTTCTGTACCTGGTGTGTTTGGGAATCTCTGAGAAATCACAGCTCAGCTCCCATGTAGCTGGGGCAGACTGAACACCCAACATGGCCCTCATCACACTCCATTCCAGTGGTTCTCTTTGAAACGTAATTTGAGGTTATTACCAACCCAGCGTGACTCAAGCTTTAATTTTTCAAGATACTATGTGACATGGTTAAACTGAGAAAGGGCAACTTGCAAGTTTCTGACAGTTGGTCTCTACATTAAGATGAAACTCATACTGAACATCAGTAAAGCATAAAAATAGGGGATTCTCATCCCCAGAATACCACAGTTGACTGTAGACTACATTCTGTAGAAATACTGTCATGGCAGTGCCCCTCTGTGGAGCCTCTAGTGTGGCCCTGTGCTGCTTTAGGCCAGCTTTCATTTTCCCACACAAAAGTTAACCAGGAATTGCTCTTGCAAAGATTATTTTTGAGACCGTTTCAACACTAGCCCAGGAAGGCCTCTGTCTTGCAGTCCTACCTCAGCCTCAAATCCTGGGTTTATAGTCATGTACTGTGAGGACTGGATGAAGGGATTTAAGCATGTTTATAGAGAGGAGCAACAGCAAAACATTTCCTCTGGGTACTGTCACTTCATGAGGCAAAATACTAACTGAAAAAATGGGAAGGCTCTTGTCCCTGTGACCCACAGCTAAGTGGGTTGGTGCTGAGGATCAGGAGTCGCCTCCAGGCCTGGTTTCCAGATGCTGCTGATGGACACCAGAGGAGAAAGGAGGGATTCCACTGCAGCAGTTAAGAGTGTTGGAGGGGAGAGACCTGTGCCTGGCAGTCTGTGGATGACCTTTGGGAGGGCAGTTACCCTGTGTTTGAGCCCTGGCCCCTTATTACCTAACCATGTGGGCAATTGCAGGGTTCTACCCTGGAAGCACATGAGCAGGGTTTGTCCACTTAAGCCTTTTCCTTCCCTCTCCTTTCCAGCTCACTAGTGCCACCCAGTGGCCAGCAATACTGTGGCAGCCCACAGTATGATGAAAGCAGCGTAGGGCAGCCTGCTACCTTCTGTGCTCCGCTATGCCCCAGGCAACTTTCCTATAACAAGATCCTGCCAGCTCTTCATTTGGGCCAGTGGTCATGGCAACAAGGAACACCCTCCTGCTGCCACCAGATGCTTAGCGGCATCATTCCACCATGCGAGAGCACCCGGGCAAGAGCAGAAAGTGGTTGTTGACAGATCCACCAGCAGGATGGTCAGGCATTGCCCAGTGCATGATGCCACCTTGACATCATGCCCTTTACTGTCGGGAAGAGAGAAGAGCACACAAGTGCAGTTACTAGAATAAGTCGTTCATTACAGCTGTGTATGCACAGTGTGTAATTGAATGTGAATTTGGGGGTTAAGGTGTGTCTCAGTGATACAGCCCTTGGTTATATGCAGGGCTCTTGTTTCTGGTCTCCAGCATTGGGGTAGAAGCTGGAATGAGGAATTACAGATCAATCATTGTCCCTGGTATTGCAGTGGCAGCATGTCTAATTCCACCCATTACTGTTTCCACTAGAGGGACTGTTAGGGTTAGACGCCCCTCCACAGTAGAAGAGAGTTTGGTGTGTCTTGTTAGTAGTTAAGTTAGTAATGGCTATTGGCATCCACAAGTTTTAGGAGGACATTTTTACCAACTTGTAATCTCATACGCTTTTTATGCACCATTGGAAGTGTAACTGATGGGTCCCTAAGAGTGACCTTAACTGTTAGGGCAGAAGCTTCTGGAACTGTAAGGCTGCAGTTTGGTGGTTAGGGAGCCATCTAAAATAATTGCATTCAGGTATGTCTGCCCTTGGGACAGTGTGCCAGGAATGTCTTAGGAATAACCAAATGCAATTAGACTATAAGAAATTGAATCTATTGTGGAACCTGTGGCTTTGGAGACTATATGTCTAACCAGAAGCAAGACAAGTGTTGCTGAGGATGTTTCAGACCATACCACAGTCATGTGGAGGAAGTCTATGAAGTTTGTATTTGCAAGAGTACGTTTTTGTCTCAACTTTTGTGGCTGTCCCAGATAGCTGGGAGTCTAATACACAAATTTATCATACTCAAGCTGAGTGTCAACATCTTTTTTAGCATGTGGTCCTTACTATGCTTTGAATGCTTATCCCTTCTTTGCCCCTCAGTCTACCAATTTTCACAAAAACTATACAGGCATACAAATGAACTGCCAAATGCACTGAGCCAAAGAGTTTTTAGGCATCTGACTGCCATTAAGACAGTCTCCCTGGATCAGGATTAGTTCTGTTCTGATAAACAACCAGTTGTCTTAATGTATTTGAGAACAGATCTTTGACAGTCCTTTTCAGAATGTGCCCTTATTTCCCATTTTGTGCAAGTCTAGCACCTCCCCCCATTTGTCCTCATCCAGAGGAATGAAACAGATGGGTGTTGCAGAAAGATGTAACTCAGTCTGCAAGCCTCTGGGTGCCTTGAGGCCTGTTCTCTGCACAGGTTTTGGACAGATGCCACCTGTGGAAAATGGCCATGGGGTAAAGTTGGAAGGGCTCCTTGAGATGAAATATAAGATCTGCATCTTCTGTTTTCTATGCCACTTGGTGAATTGACCACACAGCAGTGATTATGCTGCTGTAGAAAGTTTGGTGGCCAGATCTGGCAGGGCATGTGGACACCTGGGATTTGTTAAAGGAGGTCTTCCCTGTAGATAGGTCTTGGCTTTTGCCTGAGCTCTCCAACATCCCTGGTGTGCTGGAAATGGTCACTGAGAACGGAGACTGGGGAGCAGTCCATAATACTGAAGTCACACTACAAGGATGACTAGAACTGGTGGTGACAATTTGTAGTATATAGGGGGCTTGCCAGCATACGGTATTTAAGAATTACCAATGTAGACAAAGCATCTCCTGGGTGTGTTTGGCAAGATACAGCCCTGTGCCACCTATTCCTAGGCATTTCCTTCCCTCTGATCATTTGGGCTCCTGTCCAGCTTGTTGGATAGGCATCATTTAGCTGCATGACCCAGGCTACATAGTGATCCCCATTGATATGATGTAGGATTTTTTTGTTTTTATATGTGTGCATGTGTGTATACATATAAGCACAGTGTAAGGATTTATTCTCTGCCATATGGGTCCTGGGGTTTGAACTCAGGCCTTCAGAAATGACAGCAAGTCCCTTTACCTGCTGAGCCATCATACAGGCCTTTGTCAGGATTTTAATGTCACTGACTCCCCACTAACATGTAGTGGCTTTTGTGTGAGCTAAGGAGCTTTGACAGCAGTCCTCGTTGGGACTTAAAACACTTGGGTAATCACACTGTCATGCTGATAGAGTTACAGTTAGAGGGGAGATGCATAAATGGTCAGCACTGCCCTTGGCATCCAACTCTTAGTTAAAAAGAAAAAATAGGTTAACTGATCTAACATAGATTGCAAACTTGTCATATTAACTGTAACTTGTTCAGTGGAATCATGTAGAGGGAAGGTGAAGTAAACTCCGTCCCCGTATACTGACAGGTGCCAGCCTCCAAGGACCCTTAGGGTTGGTTTATGGAGGAGACCTTGTCTTCTATTGAAAGGATTTTTGAAATTCAACTTCACAACACAGAGAGAAACCTTGACTTGTTAATGAAAGTGTTCTTGTTAATCTGTCCTTTTTTGGTGAGAAGTTTTTCCTTTAGTTTTACAGCTTAGCTAGTGATTAAATAGAGCCTTTGATAATTGGCTTGTTGGTCAAGGTAAAAGGTTTAATGTAAATAGCACTAAAGCCTCTTAAATAAGTATATTCACTAAAAAAAGTACTGCTGGCAACCTTTTCTGGATTTGGAAGGTTTTCTCCAAATGTGTATTATTAGATAATGCCTAGATTGGTGATGTCCAGGGTGGACATCACGTGATGTCGAGCTGTAGTGTATGTGTTGTCCATGTTTCATTCAACATGTCTGATTCTGCTTTGTAGCCACCAAGGATGACCGGAGAGTGGAGGACAGAGCAGTGGCAGCAGCTGCAGCCCCAAAGAAAACTGCTCCCCCAGGCTCCTTGATGGGCAGACAGCCTTCACCTAGAAATCCTGTTACAAAGAAGCTTCCTCCCTTTGCTAACATGGCAGGAGCCAAACCAGCCAGTAAGAAGCTGCCCTTAGGCTTCAAGGGTACCATCCCTAAGAGGCCATGGCCCTCAGCCACCCCATCGGGCACAGCTGCCAGGCCGACAGGACCAACACCTATGACTATAACAGCTGCTTCCAAAAAGTTGCCTGGCTCTGCTGCTCTGGTGGGAGTCGTCAGGAAGCCAATGTCCACAAATGTTCCTTCAGCCTCTCCAGCCCCAGGACGCCTTGGGCCTGGGGGCCCTGCCCCATCGCAGCCCAATTCACAAATTCGGCAAAATATAAGACGCTCCTTGAAAGAGATTTTGTGGAAAAGGTAGGCACTTCTATGTGTCGTACATGTTGCTGATGTAACATTGATGTCATTCTGGATTCCCCCTGTTTAAAATTTGGAACATAGGCAAATGCCCCTGATTAATGTAATCCCTTTTTCATTCTGTTCAGAGTCAGTGACAGCGATGATTTAATAATGACAGAAAATGAAGTAGGAAAAATTGCTCTCCATATCGAGAAAGAGATGTTTAACCTATTCCAGGTTACAGATAATCGCTACAAGAGCAAATACCGCAGCATCATGTTCAACCTGAAGGATCCTAAGAATCAGGTATGTGTCCACCCAGATGTTGGAACTTCCTGAACCAGAACAGACTCTACTCCATTTCTTTCTAGCTTCACTGACACACCAAATGGCACTTGGAGATAGGTGTCCTCTCCTCCGTTATGACTGGAGTTGTCAGAGATCTTAGTGCCTCCTCCCATTTTTCTAGATTAGTCTTAAACTTCGCTGTGAAATCACCTGGCGTTTGACCCCAAAATTAGTACAACTTTTTGTCCCATTCTTTATTTGGTCTTTTTTGAGACAGGGTCTCCCTGTAGCCCCAGCTGTCCTGGAACTCACTCTGTAGACCAGACTGTCCTTGAACTCGCAGAGATCCGCCTGCGTCTGCCTCCTGAGTGCTGGGATTAAACGTGTGCGTGCCACACCTTGCTTTATCCTGTTCCTAAAGGGATGTTTGTATTTAGTTTCAGGCAGCCTTGTCTTAGCCACACCAGAAGACCACTTGCATTTATCACCTGTCACCAACCTGGTTCTGTCCTGCCTTCTGCCTCCAGGGCTGCTATTCAGAGTGTTCTCTTCTGCCTCTGAATGCCTATTTGTGCTTTAGTAACAGATGTCATTCCTGCATCTGCCATGGTCAGCAGTCCCCTAGTAGAATTGATTTTTTTTTTTCCCCCATTTTGTTTCAGTTTTTTGTTGGGTGGGGCCAAAGTTGCTGTGTAGATCAAGCTGCCTGTGCTGCCCAGGTACAGGGATTAAAGGCATATACCTTCTTGACTTCTAAGGGTACCATTTTAACTGTATGCCAGCTTTGTATATGATTTGTAACCTGAGGAGGCATAGAGTCTCTAGGTGGGCTTGAAGTCAGCTCTCAGCTGGACTACCACTGCCCCCTCCAGAGAGGCTCCTGAGGAGCAGGCTGAGGGTACAAATCTGCAGTGTGTGTGATGCAGCCCCTGAGTGTTCGGGGTTCATTTGATTCCTGCTGTGCTACTGTGCTGCTTCATTTCTTCATACGGATCCAGATAAAAGATACTAAACAGTTTTTGAGTGAATAAACGAAAGGTTTCTCTTCATAGGGTCTCTTCCATCGTGTTCTGCGTGAAGAAATCTCCTTGGCCAAACTCGTGAGAATGAAGCCTGAAGAGCTGGTATCTAAGGAGCTTTCCATGTGGAAAGAGAGGCCAACCAAGCCTGTGAGTGCAGGGGGAAGGGCCATTTGTAGGGTAGATGAGGATTCCACTAGAGCCCAGGACTGAGGTGCTGTCCTTTCTATTGTAGGTGATTGAGTCCAGGACTAAGTTACTTAATGAGAACAAGAAGAATACCACTAAGCCAGAAACCATTCCTGACATGGAAGATTCTCCACCAGTATCAGATTCAGATGTAAGTGGGGTGTTCAGTGTTCATATAAAGACTAAAGTTAGCATTTCTCACCTGCTTTCAGGTGTCTTAAATGACTGAGAAGTCACCCAACTTAAACCAGTGTACATGTACATATGGGATGGCAGTGTTTCTCAAATGTTTGTAGCCATTAGGCCTGTTTTGGTTAGTTTCATTTTTTGAGGCAAGGTCTCCTTGTAGCTTTGGTTGGCCTGAATCTGTTCGACCTCCCAAATTTTGGGATTAGACTGCTCCACTACACCTGGCTTAGTGAACTTTTTTTCCATTGTTGGTTTTTTTAAGGCTCTATTTATTATTTTAATTTTATGTGTACGCATGTATGGCCTGCATGTAGGTAAACACGCCTGTGTCGTGCAGCACCGGCGGAGGACAGAAGAGGCTGTTGAGTCCCCTGGAACTAGAGTTATGGACAGTTGTTAGCTGTCATGTGGGTGCTGGGAGTCGAACCCGAGTCTTCTGCAAAGAACAGCCAGTGTTCTTAACCACTGAGCCATCTCTCCAGCCCCTCCATTGTTTTTTAACCATGAAGCTCAGGGCTGGAGAGATGGCTCAGTGGTTAAGAGCACTGGCTGCTCTTACAGATGATCTGGGTTCAATTCCCAGCACCCACACAGTGGCTAACAACTGTCCAAAGCTCCATTTCTGGGGGATCCTACTCCTTTTGACTTCTAGGAGCATTGCATGACATGGGTGCTATTCTCTAAGCCCACCACCAGTGACGTGCTTCCTCCAGGATAGCCACACCTTCTAAAACCTCCCAAAACAGTGCCACCATGTGGGGACAGAATGTCTAAATACTTGGAGCCTATGGGGGACATTTTCATTCAAACCATCACAGGTGCACTTACATACATGCAGGCAATACGCTCAGACGCATAAAATAAAAATAGTATTTTAACCCTGAAGCTCTTTTATGTGCACTGTTAACTTGGAGATGGATTTGAGAAAGAAGTGATTTACTTGAGCCAAGCGTGTTGGCATATATTTGTAATCCCAACATTTAGGAGGTGGAGGCAGCAGATCAGAAATTCAGGGTCAGCCTCAGCTGTGTTGCCAGTTTGAGGTCTGGGCTACATGAGGCACTGTCTTTAAAAAGAAGAAAGAGGGCAGGGCATGGTGGCGCACGCCTTTAATCCCAGCACGGGAGGCAGAGGCAGGCTGATCTCTGAGTTCAAAGCCAGCCTGGTCTACATAGCGAGTTCCAGGACAGCTGGGGCTACAGGGAGACCCTGTCTCAAAAAACAGAGAGAGAGAGAGAGAGAGAGAGAGAGAGAGAGAGAGAAACAAGCCAGCCCTCCTTGCTCTCTTTCTCTGTAGGAACAGCAAGAGTTGGTGCGCACTGCCCCCGAGAGGAGTACGGCGCCTCTTCTTGATGTTGTCAGCAGCATGCTCAAGGATACCACCAGTCAGCACCGGGCCCATCTTTTTGATCTAAACTGTAAAATTTGTACAGGTGAGCATAATTTGAGAGCTGAAACTTTGAAAATGAGACAGTCGCCTTTCTGTGTTCAAGCCCTGTTTAGACAAAGTCAAGCCGTATTCCACTTGTGAGCAAGCTGTGCTCTTGAATGTGCCAGGTTCCCACTGTCTTCCTTGTGCTCCTCAGGTCAGGTTCCATCATCTGAGGAGGAGCCAGCTCCTAAAAAGCAAAAACTTGTAGCTTCTAAGAAAGAAGACTTGAAATCCAAGTACGACAGCTCTTCTGATCCAGTTCCTAACACTGCTGATGAAGGGATTTCAGAGACTCTGCTTGAAAGTGCCTCTGAGCCAGATCTGGAAAGTATGTCTGGTCTGAACCAGGAAAGAAAGTGCTTCCCTGGGCCTCCAGGAGATAGCCATCCTGAGCCTTCCCCACTGGATGGCCCCTCTCCTTGCCCTGCCTCTGGTGGGAGTGGGGTGGTCACCACGGTCACCGTGTCTGGCCGAGACCCCAGGACCGTTCTGAGTGGGTCATGCACAGTCACAGCCTCCATGGCAACCAACCTGGACAGCACCCACACAGCAGAAACCAAACCGGACGTGCTAAAGCCTGCTTTGACTCCTGCAGTAGTGCCCAAGTCCATCCTGGCTAAGCCATCCTCCTCTCCTGACCCAAGATACTTGTCAGTGCCGCCATCACCAAACCCCAGGTGCGTGTTTAGGGTAGGATCTGAGCAAGCCCTAGACTCTTGTTTTAGATTGACAAGAGGAAGCTTGGTGATTGAATTTGTCTCAAACATACCTTTAGTGTCCTAAAAAGGCTTGTTTCTTGGGTGTCTAGTTAACATTTTGATGCCATTCAGATCTTGAAAACTTAAGTTTTGAACTTCATGGCCATTCAGAGTTTACCTGTTTAGCTTATTTTTCCTTTCAAAATGTTCGTTTAAGTGCTTATGATTTCATCTTGGCGGTCCACTTTTGCTCCAAGTATGAAGTAATCAGACTTTGAAATTCTCTTGTACAATAAGAGACTAATACTTTTTTATGATTTGGTTTTACAGCGTCTCAGAATCACGATCCCCTCCAGAAGGAGACACGACCCTCTTTTTGTCTCGACTCAGCACCATTTGGAAAGGATTTATTAACATGCAGAGTGTAGCGAAATTTGTTACTAAGGCGTATCCTGTCTCTGGGTGTTTGGATTATCTCAGTGAGGTTAGAACCAAGAAGTGTGTGTGATTGTATACATGTGTCTTAGAGGAGTTAAATCAGTGATGCTCTTAAGTGACCTGATGTGGCAGCTGATTACATAGTATGACCAGGGACAGAAATTTACACAAGGATTCAGGCATCCCAGTTCCCTGTTTGGTGAGGGTATTTCCCCGTGTTCTTCAAACTACCTCAGCTTCTGAGCATACTCTTAGACACAATGGTTGTCTTCCCACCCTCATTCAGGTGGTACCGCTCTCCTTAAATTGGTGGTTTTGTTGAGTGTTGGGGGGCTGGTGCTTTGGGGTTCTTGTGTCAGTCTGTGTGAAGACTGTAGCTTCTCTGGTGTGACTGCATGTTCTTCTTATGTAGGATTTGCCAGACACCATTCACATTGGAGGGAGGATTGCTCCAAAAACAGTTTGGGATTACGTTGGCAAGCTCAAGTCTTCCGTGTCTAAGGTATCTGCAGCAGTGGGAGCCGGTGTTTGCCTAAGCATGGGTCTTTTTTAAATTTCTCATTTGGTGGTCTAAGACTTGAAATAACCTGTAACTTACTAGATGTCAGGACCCAAAATATGAAGCTGTGCTTACATTACAGTGACAGGAGTTTCTGACTTACCATAATGTGAGTGCATTCAGATTTTAGCAAGAAAAATCTATGGGCTTTGTTTTCCCCTTTTTCGTGACTAAGGGAGAAGGTGAGGACTTGGAGGTAGCCTGGCTCAGACACACAGCCTGAACTTATAAGCAGGCTTTGGCTTCCTGAAAACCCTTTAGGTCAGCTACAGCTGTAGAGTGTGCAGTTCCCTTTGGAAGTGGTCTGTAGCTTGCACCAGACTCAAGAGGAGGTAAACCTTCTCATTTAGGCTAGGTGTGTGTCCTGTTTGCTGTGATCCCATCATCACATGAATGGTAAAAGCTTGTTCCGTGTCAGGCATGCCTAAGTTGACACTGTACACGGTTACTCACTGATAACAAGAGCCCTGGGAGGTGGTGACTGAGTGGAGGTATAAGGGGTTTCATGCTGGGACAAGATTTCAGTCCAGTGGTCTGACTTAAGCCCATTGTTTTCTCTTTACACTTGACGCTATGTTAACATGCTAGGCAATAGGACTGTGACAGTCAGGATCAGAACTGATAGAGTAGACTTTAGAGGGAAGATTGTTTGGGTGCCTAGGTGCATGCCTCTCCTATGCTCTGTTTGCCTTGCAGGAGCTCTGTCTGATTCGTTTTCACCCCGCTACAGAGGAGGAAGAGGTCGCCTACATTTCTCTCTACTCCTATTTTAGCAGCCGTGGCCGCTTTGGGGTTGTAGCTAATAACAACAGGCATGTCAAGGACCTCTACCTGATTCCACTGAGTGCTAAGGACCCTGTGCCATCCAAACTCTTACCCTTTGAGGGCCCAGGTAAGCACACAGTTTCTGGGAGGCGATTAGGCACATCTGTTCCCCACACACTCCTTGCTGACACAGTCCTCCCAGGTTATCACAGGTACATCTGCTACCTGGCCCAAACAAGGCTTCCCAAGAACTAGATTAGAACAGCAATGGAACCATGCATGGTAAGAGAACCTGTCCTCTGGAATGTAGGGACACAGCCCTGAAAGCACCCTGTTCATGTGAAGGTTGTCTCATTATTTGGAACCAGCCTGTTTGCCATCTCAGGCCAGGGACCTGTTCAAATGCCAGGACAAAGGACCAGCCCCAGAGGAAAGGCAGGGCTTGCCTGCATCCTAGGGCAGACTCCTAGACCAGAGACTCCCTTGTTACCACTCAGCTTCAAGTGAGCTGGCCTCTCCCTTCCACTGGGCTTGATTTTTAAGGAGTCTGATAACAGTGCCATAGAAAAGCATTTCTCAAAATGACTACTCAGTCCCTCACTGTTCACAGTTTAGGGCGTTCTTTCATCTTTGGCAAGCTATTTTGCATTTGCTCATTCTTGAAATATTGCTTACATATAAAGAAACATGAGAGATACTTACTCTTGTACATGAGAGGTACTCTTGAGTTCAGATAGCTCTGACGGGCCTGGTCTAGTGGTGTTTGGCTCTTCAGAACACCTTCAAGGAGATGACATGGCTTCCGCTAGGGAATTGGCACCAGGTGCCTAAGTTAAAGTGTCTTCTTGGCCACCATGTTCCCAGTGGATTTTACCTAAAAACTAATCTATTTGACAAGTGCTAAATATTCTTTAACGTGCTTTGTCATAGAGGCAGCTGCTGAATGCCCCCAAGCCCTCACAGGTGCATTCGAAGCCCTGTAACTCACACCATTCGCACTTCACCTAAACTGGCTGGGTTCCTGAGGGCCCAAAGCCCATCACCTCATGCACAGCCCTCAGCCAACTGCTACCTGCTTCTAGTACCAGGCATGGGTTCACCTGGGCCTGCCTTTTGAAATGATAGGAGCATAAAGGTATTGGTTGGTGTCAGTAATGCTGGGATTAAATGTTAACAGGCATGATGCACTAGGCTATTTCAATGCTGAGCACATTTGAAAAGGAGAGTGCTTTTTAGCATATTCTGTCAACCATATTTGAGGTTGGAAAAAAATATCACTGGCTGGGTGGCAGAAGGTGTCCTGGAGGTGCTTGATGGCAGCCCTGTGAAGAGTTCTGGCCAGCATCTCAGGACCATGGGGAAGAGGTATCCAAGTTCTCCTGGAAGTGAAGATCCAGAAGCTGACCCTTGGCACCTGTGTGAAGACAGCCAGTCATTTAGAAGTGTGTCAGATGGTGGGTAGGAGTTAGTGTCCACATGTGGTGCCTCTGGTCAGGTGGGTTATAGCCCTGGGCACCTTTCTCTGTGGTGGAAGAGCACTTTTATTACAGAAATGTGTTAGATACCTACTAGTCTCCTGCTTAAAAACAAAAGCAACACTTCACCTTTTACAGCTTTCCTGACCCACCTCCACCTCTGCATTGCCAAATGAGGAGGGACTGTTGGGGTGCTGAGAAGCCTGCAGAGTGCATGGGCATTGGGGTACAGGGAGCCTTTAGCCAAACAGGACTTGAAGGATGGGTTTCCCAGTAGCCAGAATCAAAGGAGACCACCAGAGGAACAAGCACCTCCATTGTGGCTTCATAGTTACCTGGGTGCGGGTTTACAGAACAGCCAGCTGGGACAGGTTGGGGCCACACTGTGCTTCCGAGATGACAAGGTCGGGAGATTGGCTTACTTTATCCTACTAGACTCACTCTCAGTTACTGGCCAAGCAGAAGGCACAAATGTATCTTGTTTAAATATAAAAGGGAATTTAAAGAAGTGATGAAATATTTCCCACAAACATATAAAAGAGTTCTTTTTAGCATAAGGATTTACACTTTTTTTAATCCTCCTGATGACATGATTGGCACAGTTATGTGTATGGCATTTGCACACTGTCAGTGTAAATACTTTCAGCTGAGGCCAGGCTCGTGGCTACATTATCTACTGCTGATGGCATGACTTGGCATTTTCTAGGTGTAAGTGTGTACGCGTGTCTGCTGTCATGTGTGTGTCTACTGTGTGTAAGGCTGGGCTGGAACCTTCCTCCTGGCTCAGTTATCCCTGTCCTCACAGCACCTAATCTTCACAGAAGTCCTGGACAGCTTGAGTCACCTGCAGGTGGTGACTGTGTCTTATCAGCAGACCTGTGGCCCCATCTGAGCACCTGCCACATACCAAGCCGAGGGCCCTGCAGTGCACACACCTAGGAAGTTACTGGGTCTTGGGTCTACATACCACCCTGCAAAGCCTCTCAGTACCAAGGCTCTGCCCTTCAGCTCTGTGTTCCATAGACCACAAGTGTGGAAGATCTGGTGGAGCTGCAACCTTGACCAGCCATCCACAGCAAGGCTGGCATGAGCAGGTGGAATCAGTCTCCTGTAGGGTATACTCAGAAGGTCATGATAGGGCTGGAGAGATCCTGGCAGGAGAGCGGCCCAACCCGCTTGTCCACAACCTCATTTTCTACCTAATGGAATCACAGGTGTCCCTCCCCTTCTGACTTGGAGCCAAGTAGTTTCTGACAACATTGGCCTCTTGAGCTTGATTATTATTTCTTAGAAGACTCTAAAGGTGCTTAGGCCACACATGATAGGCCACCCACGTGGCTTGCCTGTTGTCAGCATTTGCTTCTTGCCCCAGCCACATGAACTTCACAGACCCAGTCAACACATCCTGAGCTGCTGGATTTCTTGAGGATGCTAGTGTCCTTAAGCTTTTTAATGATCCACAAAAATGTGGGGTAGCCTTATTTTGTCAGACAATTATGTATAGTAACCTGGTACGGTTATTGCAGAGGGCAGTTAGAAAGCCTAGGTCCCTTTGTCCAAGCTGTACATCCTCTTTCCACGCTTAGCTGGCTCAGAGCCAGCAGCAGGTTCTCTCTCAAGGGGACTTGAGGTCCTTATCAAGGGAGCAAGGCTAGGCAGAGGGAAGTTCGTCCCTTCCATCTGGTCTGTTCCTGACAGCACTGGGTCTGAAACCCATGCACTCACTTAACAGTCACCAGGGCCACTGTCAGGTTGGAGAGAACTAAGGGCATGTGGTCTTGATGCCAGGGCCTGTTGGCACTAGCCAGGTCTCTGGGCATACAGCCAGTCCCCTCCCCAAGCCGTCCTCAGGCTCTCTGGGGGGAAGGGCTAGTCTTTACACAGGAATCCTCGGGGAGTGTCACACTCCAGAGTGTCTTTGTGTTCACTTTAACAGCTTCTCAATTAGCTGGAAAGTTCTATTCCCTGAAATATTAGCAGGTAAGCACTTCAGTTTTCATGTGTATGTATCAAAGCTTTGCACAGAAACTGTAATCAACGCCAACTACGGTATTGAATGGAATGTACTACTTTCTCGTTCAAAATCAATAAAAATATGTCGTGGAAACTGATCATTGTTTGTTTGACTTGGAAACGTGGCAGCTCTTAGACAGGTGGTAGCTGGGGCCACCTGTCCTAGGTGGTGCTTGTAAGCCAGCATAACCTTCCTCTGATAGTACAGGGGCTCTTGGCATCCCACCTCGTAGTACGAAGCAAAGGGCATGCAGGCTGGCATGATCCAGTGCTTCCTCTGCACTTTGGCACCTGGAAGAAGATGAACATCACGTCCTCTTACCCCAAACATGCACTGGGTCCAGTGACTTTACCCTGGTCTTCAGGCTTCTGAATCAAGAAGGGGAAGTTCTGTGAGTGTGTGTGTGTGCTTACTGGGTTCGGAAGTATACTAGTTCCTCTCATTTGCCAAGTGTGTCCAAGTCATAATTCCACACAATTTCTAAACCCATAGAAGTGACAATTTTGGAAAATTGACCATAAGAGAGTTTTTTTGTTTTGTTTTTGTCTTTTTGATACAGGGTCTCCCTGTAGCCCCAGCTGGCCTGGAACTCGCTATGTAGACCAGGCTGGCCTTGAATTCACAGAGATCCACCTGCCTCTGTCTCCTGAGTGCTGGGATTAAAGGCATGCACCACCACGCCTGGCCATAAGAGGGTTTTCATCTTGAACATGCCATTAGATTTGAGGATAGCAGTGTCAGTTTGACAGCTGTGAAGTCATCAGGAGTCAGTTTGAGGGTGGTTCTGTTAATAAAAGGGAACACCAACATGTCACACACAGGTCATAGTACTGTCTCCCAGTGTCTAGAAACATGGTTTTTGGTCACATCTGTTACAACACCTGGATGCAGATCCCAGAAGATTAACTAGCACACACTTCTGTTTCACTCCATTTTTTCTTGTCTGATACTACTGAGTCTGGGGCTCAGACATTGGTACACCTGGTACGTTCTAGAAGATAACACTGGCCACAGTGCACCCTTTGTGGGAATAGGACAGCACGTTTTAATTGCAGCTGGAATGTCAGTGTTCCACTGCCTTAACAGCTTGTTTTACCTACTTGTGTGAATTGCCAACCTCACAAGTGCCCCAGACAGGGAGGTGGGCAAGTAACCACCCTTGTGCCTAGTGTTGGCTCTCATGGACCTCCAGTCTGCACTGAAGCTGGTGTGACAGAATTCTCAGGCCATATACCCCACCCTCCAGGGACTTGAATTCTTGACATGTAGCTGACAAAATTGCAGCAACCTTGGAAAGCAGGCCACAAGCAACCTGGGCTTCTGCTGCCCCTCCCCCAGGTATGGGGCAAGTATGGGGACTGAGACCTTTGACCTCACTTGACATTTCCCAACTGGCATACCTTGCTATACCATGGAGCATCATTGATAACTTTGGGACATACCTTCCCTCCTCAGCGAAGATGCTTCCAAGGCCCAACATGGATAATGAATGTGATTGTTTACAAGATGAACTGCTTCCAGGGTACTAACTACAGGTGGTTTGTTTTTGTTTCTTAGCCCATGCTGACCTGGAACACACTTTGTAGTCTAAGTTGGCCTCAGACTCTGGATATCTTCCTGCCTTAGCCACCGCACCTAGCTTACCGCAGTCGTGGTTGTAGCTATCCATAAGGCAGGCGAGGGTTGTTCCAGAATGTGCACTGGGGAAACTAGCTGGAACTTGGGTATACCTGTGGAACCCCTGCAGTGTGCACACAGGGTGGTCAAATGATTTAGAAACAGCTGCTGGTCAGATACCAATCTAGGCAGCCTGCTCTGCTCAAAGCCACTGTGAACCCCAAGTCACCTTACCGTGGGCTCTGAAGCATCTTCCGTGGTGGGACACATGCATTCTTCCTAGCAATGAACACATTGGGCCTCTTTGAGTCTTGGTTGCAGTGGAGGACTGCACAAGGTCAGGGGCCTCTTTTTTGCTGGGTTTAGTGCTGGTGGGCCTATCATGCATTTCAGTGAACTGAGACATCAGTCCTTTGAAAGCTGGCTTTTTCAGCACTTAACTGTCCACTCTGCTTCCCCACACCAGGGCCCCACAGCCAACTGAGCCTGTTCCTACTAATCTGTGTCAGGTTCTGGAACGAGCCTGGCTTACAGAGCCACCCTGTAGAACTTCAGCTTGAGGCCCAAATGTTCATGTTTTCATCACTCAAACTTACTCTGCAAGCTTGGTCCATTTTAACAGGATTTGTCCAGAAAGACTATATATAAAGCTGGTTCAGCACTTAACTCCAAACTACAGACCTGAAGAAGGCATAAAACTTTCAGTATGCAAATAGCTGCTGTTTTAAGAAGTACCCTATTAAGTTTAAAACACCCTTAATTCATTCTCCTTAGAAGATAGCCCTCCACCTGTGCTGAGTGGGGAAATGTAGATGTGATACTCACTGGGGTTTGTCTGCTTGGCAATTACTGTCCTATCTCAGTTTTTTAATGACCTTGCCAGAAGCTGGAGGCTAGCGCTGAGGCTCTTAGAAAAAGGGAGGAGGACTGGGTAGAGGGGCTGAGTGGCCAATTCCCAGGGGCTGGCCCAGTCTGTCGCCACTGAAGTCTGGGAGAGAATATTCCCCATTGTGTGCACAGCCTTACTGGGATTTAGAAAGAGTAACAGCACTTAGAACTAACTACATGAGTGTCTAAAAACAACTGTTTTCAGTAACTTTAAACAAAATCTTTGGAAGTGGATTTAGAGAAATGTAGTATGTATACCAGTACACTGAATAGACAGTTTCATTCATTTTACATGTTTGAATCCCCTTTGTAGTCCTTTTCCCTCTCCAAGTTTTGTGACTTCCCCTCTTTGGGTGTTCTTGATTTATTATGCATGTAAGTCGGAATGTTGCTAGAATGCAGGCATTCCTGAGCTAGCTCACCACAGCTTTTTTAGAAAGGCCCTTTAAAAGCACTGTGCTCCGAATCTCCCTGTGGGTGTCCCCCCCCCCCAATCCCAGATGTGTTCTACACCCATTTGCAAAATGTCCTGTGCTTCATTTAAGCACCAACCTCTATGAAGACATGAGCAGTAGGTAGTTGGGAAGGTGTGTGTGCCCAGCACTCTCAGGTCGGTAGGAACTTGTTGGTACATTTGTTCTAAATTGAGCTTTGTTTCCCTATCACTATAATTCTCAAGCCAGACACTAATGAAGTCACTGTACAGCTTGTGCCATGTTGGTCATTATAGCTTGAATTGAATTGGTCTTGTGTTGCAACTCATGTTAAAGCTAAAAAGGGCTGTGCTCCCTCCTGGTGTGCAGCAAGGGCACATGGGAGAGACAGCTGAAAGCAGCTCTGGCTGTGTTTTGGCCAGTTCTGCTGGCTCGGAATGGCTAGGTGCCTGCCTGCAGCCCTCCTCCCACTGATGTAGCTTTGTCATTACCGAAGCTGTAAAAACATGCACCATAAATTCTGATGACAGGAGGGGTTTGCTTATGATTTGGGCCCTTGGTTTGTGGTTTCTGACCAGGGGTTAATCAAAGGCCCCTTTGAGATGATGGGCACCAGAGCCAGGTGGACATCTGGCACCTTCAAGGGACTTCAATAAACTTTCCAAGCTTGTGATTTTATTTCACCATAGAGCCTCCTCCTCTACCTGTTGGATGTTCCTTTCTCTTAGTGAAAGTTAACCTCCGGAGAGTGAAAGATGGACTTAGATGCTGAAATTTGTGCAAACATTGTGTTTTTCAGGTCTTGAGTCACCACGTCCAAATATAATCCTTGGGTTAGTAATCTGTCAGAAAATAAAACGTCCTTCAAGTGCTGGAGAGTTAGACAAGACAGATGAGAAACGGCCTCGACTCCAGCAAGAAGAAATGGAAACTTCAGTTTATCCCAAAGTGACTACAGCCCCACCATCTGAGAAGAAGCCCCCCAAGTACCAGCTCCACTCTGCAGACACAGCTGCCAGCACCACGCCCCCTGGCTCTCCTCCACCCCCACCCCCTCTTCCTGAACCCCCAGTGTTGAAGATCCTGTCGTCCCTCAAGCCAGGACCCACCAGCACCACCACAGCGCCCACCACAGCAGCAGCAGTCACTGCCTCAGCTTCCCCTGTCACTTCCACCACTTCGAAAACAGCCTCACCACTGGAGCACATCTTGCAGACTCTGTTTGGGAAGAAGAAATCTTTTGAGCCCCCTGCCAAAGAGTCTGCTGGTTCTGCTCTAGCCCCGTATCAGGATTCCAAAGTCAAGGGGGAGGATGCCATGTCCGCAGCTCCTCTGTTAGATCCAATTGTTCAACAGTTTGGTCAGTACTCAAAAGACAAGGCTTTGGAGGAGGAGGAGGAAGACGATAGGCCCTATGACCCTGAAGAAGAATACAACCCAGAGCGAGCCTTTCACGCTCCAGTTACTGAGCCAGGGAGGCACCTCGACATGGAAAAGGCTCCTGAGACAGCCGAAAGGGAAGAGGTGGCCTATGACCCAGAGGATGAGACCATCCTAGAAGAAGCCAAAGTGACCATTGATGACCTGCCTAATCGAATGTGCATGAAAGGCAACTCCACAGAGAGGCCTACAGACTTCACCACCGATGCCTCCAGTGCCTCTCTGGTAGAGCAGCAGAAAATGTTGGAAGAGCTGAACAAACAGATTGAGGAGCAAAAGAGGCAGCTGGAGGAGCAAGAGGAAGCTCTCAGGCAGCAGAGGGCTGCTGTCGGCGTCTCCATGGCCCACTTCTCTGTATCAGACGCACTGATGTCACCACCTCCCAAGACCTCCCTGGCCAAGGTAGAGCTGTTCTCCCAGGAACAGCAGCCCCAGGACCTGAGTCAGGGAGCCCTGGGGACCAATCACAGCTCAGACTCAAGGCAGAGTAGGGACCCACGGCAGGCCAGGAGGCTGGCTACTGAGAACATCGAGATTGAGCCTCTTCCCAGGGCCCCTGTGGGCAGCACACCTGGTTCACAGGGCACCCTGCCTGTCAGAGATATGCCTGCTGGGGCCACAGCAGCCCAGGGGCCTGGGCTGGCCGCAGAAGCCAAGGAGTCAGGGACTGTTACCTGGGCTCCAGGTGAAAAGGCCACACTGCGGCCTGAGCATGACAACCAGAGGTGTGAGCACCCTGGGAACCCAGTACTGCTGCCCCTGGAGAGCAGCCATCCTTCTGCAGCTGGGGATGGCACAGCCAGGCCAGCCCCGCCCCGAAGAGTGCTGCTGCCCACACCCCCTAGCACTACCTTCTCACCTGGCTTCCCTCTGCAAACTGAAATCTCTGGGGGCAGGGAGCCCTTCTCGGGGCCCATGTTTCTGCCTCAGGAAAAATCTCTTGGCTCGTCCCAGTATGAGGACTCTCGGGGTGTTCAGTCTGTTGGAAAGAGTGACAGCCCAGCAGCTGACCCTGAAGGCAGCAGAGAGCCACAGCCCAGGCCTGGTGAAGGCACTGCTCCATTCCCCGCCACTGGGCAGAGAGGAGGAGGCCCTCAGCCTCAGTTTCCTGGCCAGCGTGAACCTGTACCACACACTTTTGGGATGTCAGGACATCATGGCCCAAATTTCCCGGGCCCTAGGGTACCAGTCCCTCCATTTTCAGAAGAGAATATTGTTCCCAACAGTGATGGACCAAGAGGCCCTCCACCTGCCAGGTTTGGGTCCCAGAAGGGGCCCATCCCATCCCTATTCTCCGGTCAACACGGGCCACCGCCCTATGGGGACAGCAGGGGGGCCTCGCCTTCTTACCTTGGTGGACCCAGAGGAGGAGCACCAGGCCAGTTTGAAGACCGCAAGGATCCGTATGGGGAGAAAAGAGAGTTCCAGGACACCTCCTACAATGAGATGGCTGGTGCCCCTGCCCAGTGCGAAGGGCCAGAGCAGGCCCAGTTCATGGGGAACAGAGCTCCCTTCCAGTTTGGAGGAGGCCAGAGACGGCCACTGCTGACCCAGATGAAAGGACCCCGAGGCCCTCCACCCACTCAGTTTGGAGGCCAGAGGGGACCACCTCCAGGCCATTTTGTTGGCCCGCGTGGACCCCATCCTAGTCAGTTTGAACCAGCGCGGGGCCCTCACCCGGGCCAGTTTGAAGGATCTAGAGGCCAAGCACCAGGCTTTATGCCTGGCCCTCGCGGGGTTCAGCCCCAGCAGTTCGAAGAGCAGAGAGTGAACTCGCCACCCCGGTTTGGAGGTCAGCGTGCACCCGCACCCCTGCCGTACGGGGCGCCCCGGGGCCCCGTGCCGTTCGTGGAGAAGAGTGAGCAGACGCCGTCCCGGTTTCACTTTCCAGGCCCGCCTTCGCAGGCCGGGAAGCCGCCCCCTCGGCCGCTGCTGGAGCTCCCCAGCCACCCTCCGCAGCACCGGAAGGACCGCTGGGACGAGGCTGGCGCGCCCGGCCTGCCTGCCAGTGCTGGGCCTGCACCGGGCCCCGACGCCGACGGGCCGTGGGCCCCGGAGTTCCGGGACGGCAAAGGCCACGAGTACCGGAGCTCAGCCTTCGAGGGGAGGCCCCGGGAACGCTTCGAGGTCGGGCCGAAAGACAAGCCTCTGGACGAGCCGGAGGCCCAGGGGCCGGAGAGCCGGCAGGGCCGGGTGTTCGAGGACCGCAGGCGAGAGCGGGAGCGGGGCAGGAACTGGAGCCGCGAGAGAGACTGGGAGAGGTGCCGCGAGTGGGACCGACACCGCGAGAAGGACTGTGGCCGCGAGTGGGACCGGGGCCGGGAGCGCAGCTCCAACAGGGACAAGGAACGGGACGACCGCGGGAAGGACTGGGATCGAGGCCGAGAGAGGAGCAGAAACCGCGACCGCGACCGGAGGCGAGACCGAGACAGGTCCCGGAGTAGGGACCGGGACCGAGACAGAGCCCGAGACAGGGACCGGGACCGGGACCGAGGCCGGGACCGGAAGGACCGCAGCAAGAGCAGGGAGAGCGCTCGGGACCTGAAGCCAGAGTCCAGAGCCTGCGATGGGGACTCTGCTGCTGCCCAGGCCTAGAGGCCATTGCACCCAGAGCAGGTGCAGACGAAGACCTCACTCCTACCAACTATTCATGTGTATAGGCTCAGCCTGGCAAAGACCTTTAAAAAGCCAAGTTCATAAAATCTTGAACAAAGTTTTTGAAATCGCTATGAACTTAGATGCGGGATAGACTATTCTGGACTTCAGGAATTACTGTAATTCTGTGTATAATGGTTTGTTACAAAATTTCCCATCTTTACAATTCTGATGTTTTTTTTTTTAATTTCCATTTAAGATTACAGAAATGGGAAAGTGTCTACAAAAGCATATTGCTTTTCAGATTATAAAGTTATCTTTTCCAGTAACTTGACTGGTGTACATTTTAAGGGGATTTCAGTGGACCTTCCGGTTGTCCTTATCACTCCAAGTGCTGTCCTGGGTGGTTAGCATCACTGGCAGTGAGCGGCTACAGCTGCAGGGGTCAGGCCTTCCTAGCTTCCCTGGAATCTATCAACTAGAGATTTTTTTTCAAAAACAATTAGAAACAGTATCTGTCCTAGTGGAAACTTGCATTTAAAATAACTTTTTAAATGTTCAATTTTATCAGCCTTTGATCTGCAGAGGCAGGCAGACCTCTGTAAGTTACAGGCCAGCTGGGGCTATAGGGAGACCAGGGATGTGGGAAGGAGCAATGTTTGTACCAAGTCTGGGAAGGAGGAAGATGGCCGGGAAGCAGGCTCCTTCCTAAAGGACTGCTAAAGCTGTGCAGCCCCCGGTGCAGTGAGAAGCCAGCTAACGTGCAAATTCGTTTGATAGTTCTTTTTATAGTTTCATAAATTTACTTTTTCAGATAGAAAATTAGAGCGCTTTGTTCGTCCCTTGGAGACTTTTCCATTGTGCATCACTACAGACATTTCACTTTATAGCACAATTTTTATGTTGAGAAGACGAAGAACGCAGCAAGCTGAGACGCTTGCTCTTACAAACCCACTGTCAGTAGCTTCAACCACACAAAAGTGTCAGTTTCAGCATCTAATAACGCGAAGTTTTTTTAAAATATAAAGCAAATTTTTCTAATTTAAATACATGTAAAAAATCGAGTGTTTCTTTAGGTTTACTTAATAGAAATTTCTGTAAATCGTATTTTGTATTGCAGAGTGTTATATCACTGTACATTAAAACAGGACTCCATAGGTTTTGTTACTTGAAGTAGAATAAACAACTACAGAATTCTTGTCTTGCTTTTCACTCAGCCTTGATCCCCCAGTTGGCATGGGTGCAGAAAGAGCACCTCACTCCTGAGCAGCCCAAGTGCCCATGTTGGATGCTGCCCGTTTTGTGGCAACAGTAATGTGTTGGCTGGTACCCCATACAAAGGGCCTGGCTACCGGTCCATGTGCTAACAGGAAGCCTGAGAGTATCACTGGAGACAACCTGTGTTGGAGCAAAAGATGGTGCAGTTCAGGGAAGCACAGGTGCCCTTGGCAGAACCCAGGCCTTTGTTGCTGACTCTAAAAAGAATATCCATCCAGCTGCCACTCTGGGCTGGTTGGGGAAGCAACCAGTCTGATGGTACTGGTCCAGGGTGCCTATTCAAAGCCCTGTCCTTGACCACCATTTGCTGGTAAAACACCAAAACCTGGCAGCTATATCCCCACATAAGGGAGCCCAGTGCAGCAGGAACTCTGCAAGACAGTCCAGACCTGCACACAGCTCAGCTTGCCCGACGGGAAAGATGTTTGCATCTGAGTACACATAGTCCAGCCAGGTGGCCCACAGACCGGTCACAGAACATCCCTGGGATGGCACTACCACCTTGTCAAACATGCCAGCTGACCACAAAGCCCCATTTCCCTAAGGAAGACCACTCCACAAATAGCATAAGTAGTTCAGATGGTCTCGGTACCATGTAAGCTACAGGTCAGACTTTCCCAAAATGTCCATGAAATATGCCTCATTTTAAACTTTTTAAAAGCCGGGTGTGGTGGCACACGCCTTTTGTCCCAGTCGCAGCACCTGGGAAGCAGAGGCAGGTGGATCTCTGAGTTCAAGGCCTGGTCTACAAAGTGAGTTCCAGGCCAGCTGGGGCTACAGGGAGACCCTGTCTCAAAAAAAAGAAAAACTTTTTAAAAAAAGTCTCACTGTATTTGCAGCAATCCTGCCTCAGCCTCCCGAATGCTGGGATTATAGATGTGTGCCACTACCCCACTACCATTTTAACTCAATCCGTGTGTGCGTCACTAGCGTTCATCCCAAAACCCCATGAAATCCATTGCAGGGTCATGTCATGTGGACATCTGCAGAGGCAACTCTGGGAACATGATGAGCTCTTAGCACCTCCAATGGACGATAGCTCTCTCTACCCTAAACCATGACCCTGGCCACATCAGCCACAGCAAGCATCATTTAGCCCAGCAACAAGCCATAGTGCCTGTGTCCCAGGAAGAAAGATGTGGAGACTGGCTGTGACAGAGCTCAGGAAGGGCCTGACCTGCACTGCAAGGCAGAGACAGACAGCAGGTGTTTACAAACAAGATCATACCAGGGGCAGCAAGTCCCAGGAAGGCAGTTGGGAGGTGCTAAGTCTCAAAACTTGCTTCCAACTGCAGTACAGGTGTAAGGACTTAGCAAAGGGGGTAAGGAGTGCAGGAATCCTGTCATCGTTTTATGCCCAGCAGAGACTGCTAGTCATGCTCAGTAAACCTTTACATTATTTGCTTTTCTTGTTGCTGATAGGCTTGTCATATCTTAGTGGATCAAGAATCTTTGCACAGGACCTGGAGCACAGCTGGACTGTAACCCTCAAAACCCTCCCTTGGTGGCCTAGATCTACCAGCTAGGTCCCATGTCTTGAAGGTTTTATTACTTCCAAAACAGTGCCACCAACTGGGAACCAAGTGTTCAAACATAAGCCTGTGATGGGCCAACCAGAACACTTTAATTTTTTTCTCTTTTGTAAAACTGGAGTTTTATGGGAGCTTAGGGTTTGGGAAGTTATTTTTGACTTGTCAATACCTTGGATAATTCCCAAAGGCATCAAGCGTTCATCAAAAGTATTATTTATAGTTTTGAATTGTTTTAAAAGTTTATATGTTTTTTTTTTATCTTTAGTCTTTTTGAGACAGGGTCTCCTTGTAGCCCCAGATGACCTGAATTAGCTATGTAGACCAGGTTGGACTCCTCGAACTCACAGAGATCCACCTGCCTCTGCCTCCCATGTACTGGGACTAAAGGCGTGAGCCACCATACCCGGTGGCTTATATCACTTTTAAGAGTTGCTGTTATAGATGGCTCAGTGGTTAAGAACACTGGTTGTTCTTGCAGAAGACCCAGGTTCGAATCCCAGCACCCACATGGCAGCTAACAACTGTCCATAACTCCAGTCCCAGAGGATCCGACAGCCTTTTCTGACCTCTGCGGACATTGCATGACACAGGTGCACTTAACTACATGCAGGCAATACACACATACACATAAAATAAAATTTTTTCTAAAAAAGTTGCTGTAGATGGGGCTGGAGAGATGGCTCAGTTGTTAAGAACACTGGCTGTTCTTGCAGAAGACCTGGGTTCAAATTCCAGCACCTACATGGCAGCTAACAACTGTCCGCAACTCCAGGTCTAGGGGATCTGGCAGCCTCTTCTGTCCTCTGAGAGCATTGCAGGACACGGTGCACTTACCTACATGCATACACATAAAATAAAAAAAATAAATTAGGCGGGCGTGGTGGCGCACACCTTTAATCCCAGCACTTGGGAGGCAGAGGCAGGTGGATCTCTGTGAGTTTGAGGCCAGCCTGGTCTACATAGTGAGTTCCAGGTCAGCTGGGGCTACAGGGAAACCCTGTCTCAAAAAGACCAAAAAATAAATAAATTTTAAAAATTATTTTTAAAAAAAAGATGCTGTATCTGGGCATGATGGCACATGCCTTTAATCTCAGCACTCTGGAGGCAGAGGCAGGTGGATCTTTGTGAGATGGAGGCCAACTTGGTCTACATGAGTTCCAGGCCAGCTAGAGCTACAGAAGAACCCTGTCTCATAAAACAAAAACACCCGAGCTGCTATAGGTACCCCCCGCCACTCCAGGAAATAACACAACACCTTGGAATACAGATTACCGAACCCTGGTAGCCATGGCAACTAGAACAGACCAAAACAGCCACAGCAGGGTCAATGGTAATGGTGATGGAGCTATTGACTCTCCCAGGCAGAAGGGAGACAGGCAGGGCACAGGATCTGGAACCTACCCTCCCCTGGCTGTTCTAGTCAATAAGAACATAGTTCATAGCTGGGGTGTGGTGGCACACGCCTTTAATCTGAGCACTCAGGAGGCAGAGGCAGGTGGATCCATGAGAGTTCAAGGCCAGGCTGGTCTACATAGTGGGTTCTACATAGGACATTCCATGTAGCATCTTCCACGAAGTCACCATCCCATTATGCAGTGGAACTTTGCAGCAAGTGATGCAGCTGTTCTGAGGTCACCCACGCTGTATGAGCTGGTCAGACGTCAGCAGAATTGGTTCTTTGTTCTATCATTGGTGCCCTACCTGGGGGTGAATAGATGTTTACTCGAATTCCCCAGGAAAAGTTAACAGAGTACCTGTTCACCAGGTATGGTGGTACACACCTGTAATCTGCATTTGTGAGGCTGAGTGGAGAGTGAAGTAGGATGATCAGTTCAGGGCCAGCCTGGCCTACATAGTGAGACATGTTTTTTAAAAATGATCCTTGAGCCGGACGCACGCCTGTAGTCCCAGCACTTGGGAGGCAGAGGCAGGCGGATCTCTGTGAGTTTAAGGCCAGCCTGGTCTACACAGTGAGTTCCAGGACAGCTGGGGCTACAGGGAGACCCTGCTTCAAAAAGACCAAACAAAACAAAACAAAACAAAACCAAAAACACTCCTTGTTGGTTTTTGAGGTCCCAAGTGCTTATGGTGGAGAATCTAGGAAATGAAGGAAGTATGTACCAAAGTCCAGATCTGCCACGCACCATCTGGGGACATGTGCTGCAGTGCCTTGCCCGCTCCTTTCTGCCACGCCATGTTGCTACTGGTTAGGAGAGCAGAGACTCAAGCTGAGGGCTTTGTGTGTGTGATCCACAGAAGCCTGGAGCAGTGGATGATTTGACCCCATGTCAGCATCTGGGCTTTATGTGACTTACTGCCATGCTCTTTGTCATCAAGGCTTCCAGAAGGCTGCCCTGCAGGCCTCATACCACCTATGTGGGATGGAGCTAGCAGTAGGGACTAGGCCTCATAGGGCATGCTTGCTGTCCCCAGTTCAGCATGACAATCCTGGATGCACAGAAGGTGAGTCTGACTGAGCTTCTTGTCCCTGAACAACGCAGGGCCTGTGAGGCTAGAACTGAGAATACAGCATGTGCTGACACAAGACAGGGTGAACTCCAGCTGGGCTGCTGCACAGACCTGACGAGCAGGCAATATGCACATCCCCTTAGAGAGGGTGGCACTTCTCAAGTGACTTCCTGAGTCACCTCCCCTCACCAACTGCCAGAGCCAGCTTTGTCTGAGGGGATACAGTCATGTGAAGGGGAGGAAATGGGCTCCAGGAGGCAGAGACTGAGCTATTCAAGAGGTTGTGCCTCTGCACAGGCCAAAGTGGGCCATGCACCAGTGCTGTAAAATGCAGGATAACTGCAGATACAGTAAGCAAGTACAGTCTGAGAAGTGCTGCCCCAAGCAAACAATGGAGACCAGTCAGAACTGCCCAGCCCAGGAGACGGCCTGGGCTCACCACATCCGTGGGGGGAGACCATCTGAGTGACTCATTTGTAAGAAGGCCAGAGCCCTAGTGAGTCCATCATGGAGTGGCTGCATAAGGGGACACTTGGGGGGCAGAAGGCAGTGGCCAAAACTGGTGCAGGGGTGAGGCAGCAAGCGGGCAGCATGCTGGGGGCCGTGACTCCTCAGTATGGACGGCAGTGCTGTCACATGACTTCTCCCTTAGGAAGGCAGACAGAGAAGGGAGCTGTCTGGTAGTGGGTGGTAACAGCAGAACAGAGTGCACACACCACATGTTCACACTCAGGCATGCAAAGGCACAAGCAGGACACTGAGCAGGCCTAGGGAAGGTGCGGCCATACCTTCCACAGGCAGCAAAGAAGCCGGGCTCCTCTAACACAACATGGATACTCTAGAAATGCAGACCATTCCCCAGAGTGGAGAAAAGCCCATTTGTCCTGTCGGCATTTGGGGGTAGGTACAGGCTCAGAAG